AGCAGGAGTTTAGATGAGAATCCCATTATTACAGCCTTATGTTAAATATCTGTAAATGTCTGTATGTTAAATATAAGCTAGTGTGGTTTTGTGTCAAATGATTTATTAGTTGAGTACAGAAATGTCTTGTTGACAACAGATTTCAGAAAGTGACTGACCACAAAACAGCTTAATACCTAACCCATGTATAACCACACTGTATTGTATTCACATATTTTTGTAGGAATTTGAGAAAGTGTACAGCAATATGTGCACACAATGAGCTTCATTGGTGCTGCAGAGCCAGGCTAGTTGTTTCCCTCTGTGCTAAGCTGGATTTATATGTGAATATGGATGTGGGATAATAAATGTACTGTAGCATAAGGCAGCCTACACAGGCAGAAACTGTTCTGAAATGACAAATGTGTGTTTCATGATATTCAAAGAAAACAAGTACATGGGAAAATTCACCTGCCCAGAGGGGGTTATATAGTCAATGTGTGGTGTAAACCTGCATATAGGCACCACTACGCTCACTACTTGAGTGAGAGGGAAACTTGAGATAGATGGATAGCCTGAATAGAGAAGATGAGAAGAAGAGTGAAGGATTTAAGGAGGGGAAAGGGAGAGTAAATTAGGAACAGAGAGTGGAGGAAGCATAGAAGGAAGGAAGTAAAGGACAGGGAGGCAGATGGGGTTGTGGAAGAAGAAGTGAGTGAGACTGTCAAATGCTGAAGAGGGGGCAGAGGGAGGAAGAGAGAGATCTGAAGGGAGATGGATAGAGGGAGAAAGAAAGAGGCGGATTGGTGGAGAGAAGAGGACAGAGTTATAAATATTACATGGCAGGTTTTACTACTTGGCAAAATCAAGGGTTTCCCCCCCCACACACATACATGTACCTGCTGACATACTCTACAGCGGCACACACACACACAGAGTGTAATGCAGCATTGTGTAATGGTGTCCCTGTTTAACCCTGAAGAGGAGAGTGAGGGGAAGAAGGTGCATTAGTCATTGTGATGCAGAAGGGAAAGGGAGTTATGACACACTCGTGGAAGGAATGCACCTCAGTCTGCTGAGGGTTTGGCATGATGAGGGTGAAGAGTGGTCAGCATGCTGACATAGATGTGTCTCAGTTGAATGTAGGGATGGTTGGAAGGGACAGTGATGCTAATGGTATCATTTAATATTTTATTCATAGGAATGATCACAATCAAATTCAGGATTTTTTTTTTTTTACAATGTTTTAAAAATGTTGACTCTGTATTCAGGTATAGGTTGCCCTGCATCTCTTTCTACATAATTTGTCTGTCTGTGCATCTGTAATTGGCTTCTGCCTGTCTGGCTGCTTCTTCTTTCATGTGTTTTTGTTGTTTTGTGATGGGTTCTTTGTCTCCCTGCCACTGCATTCACTGTATGTCAGTCTGGACACCAGCATCAGTCAAACATCTGCCTGTCACTTTCTGTCTGTTTTCTTTTCTATGATCTGTAGACTCTCTCTAGACCTGATGACTATGGTTCCTGTTTCTGTGTTGGTACATTACACAACAACAAAATCTGAATTTGCATTTTGTATTTTTATTTGTAAGATGAATTATGTAATACGCAA